AGAACACCAAGGACCCTCCAGTTCTCCTCCTCCTCCTCCTCCTCCTCCTCCTCCTCCTCCTCCTCCTCCTCCTCCTCCTCCTCCTACTCCTCCTCTTCTTCTTCTTCTTCTTCTTCTTCTTCTTCTTCTTCTTCTTCTTCTTCTTCTTCTTCTTCTTCTTCTTCTTCTTCTTCTTCTTCTTCTTCTTTGTCTCCTCCTCCTCCTCCTCCTCTCCCCTTAGGAACTATGAAGACATTGGACTTGAAACAGGCTTGAAGCATTGTTTTCTTTTAAAAGAAAACTCCCAACATCCCCAGCCCTATTTGTGTCATGACTTGGGATCATGATATGCAGGCTCCATTACGGGCGTAACTCGAGGATTAGCTGTAGTGACGAGAACAGGCCTGAAGCCTGTATTTGGAGGCCATTCATCATAACGTGGAGCAGGAGAATCTTCGGCCACGCAACATTGGAAGATTGTCTCCAGGTAGAAGACCGTCCCGTGGCCGGAGAGAGGAGACGGTCCTTCTGTCCCATTTGAGCGCTACGTTTTGGAACATCCTGGGGCCATTCATAACGTGCGAGCAGATGAGTTTCTGCATATATGGGCACAAAACCTAATTAGGTTTCTCTCTCGCTAGCTTTGGAAGATGCACGGGTGTTTTATTTGTTATTTTAGTGAGGGGTGGTGTAAATTTTTTTAAGCAATTTCTCTTTGGGGAGGAATAATAACATAGAGATTGGAAATACATCAAGCCGAAATTTAAAGAATCAGAACTTAGATTCTTTGGGGGGGGGGGCGGGAGAATCCGAGGAGGGAAAGAGACATAAAGCTTGAAAAATATGTTGCTTTGCTGGAATTGTTCTTTCATCTTTTTTTTTCTTTAAATAAGGACTCCCAATAGATTAATAAACAAACTTTTCATGGGTGAATACTTGATCTTATAAACCGTGAATAATGTGGACGTTCTCTCCTGAATTAAAATGAAGCTGCATTTAGAGGAGGAGGGCTTGAAGGCTACAAGTCAAGAGGCCATTTCAAATTTCAAATAGGACATAGAATGAGAGAATTAGAAGGGACTCTGGAGGTCTTCTAGTCCAGCCTCCTGCTCAAAGGCCACTCTGGATAAATGGGTGTCCAGTCTCTCCTTGAATACCTTCAGCGATGGATCACCCACAATTACTGGAGAATATTCCACTGGTTAATTATTTTCAGTCTCAAGAAATTCCTCTTTCATTCTAGATTGGTTCTCTCCTTGATTAGTTTCCAGTCATTGTTTCTTGTCCTGCCTTCAGGCGCTTTGGAGAATGGGTTGACCCCCTCTTCTTTGGGGCAGCCCCTCAAATATTGGAAGACTGCTATCCTGTCACCCCTCGTCCTTCTCTTTGTTAGACATATCCAGTTCCCACAACGTTTTAACCTACGGTTTAGCCTCTAGACCCCTTGCTCTTCTCTGCACTTTTCAGGATTAATGTAACCTTAACAATAAAAACAGAATTAGTAGAATCCAATCTGAGTCAGGGACTTTGTCTTCCGAACTTCTGGATCCATGCCGGAGCTCATCCTCAGGGAATTTCTCTGTGTGCTTTGGGCTGTTCTCAGTGTGTTGTTTATATGGTGGCTGTGGTGTGTAGCTTTTAAGATGTAGGTTAGGGTGTTGATGGCTGGCTATCGTTGGCTGTTGTTTCCTTGTGCTGCCAAGCCCCTGCCTCCTAAGTCCTTGATAAGCTGGAGGTAGATCTGCACTCCTGTTGATTGACAAGGGGCCTGTTGCCCAGGCTTTAATCACCTCCCTGGCTGTTTTTGTGCCTGCTCGTCCAACAATCTTAGTAGCTGCGAAATTGAATGGATGTTCTTATTTATTACAATGAGAGGCTACCAATGAATTCGGGTTTCCTCGTCTAACTGCTCACTTGTGTTCTTGCAATCTGGTTGTTATCTTCCTCCCTGTCTGTCCCACACAATCACAAAGGCAATCCATGCAGGGGATCTGGTAGATTTCCTTCCTTCTTCCTTCCTCCATCCCTCCCTCTTTCCCCCTTTATTCATGACAGAATTAGTACTTCTGGGTGTGCTTCCCGTTTGGATGATCTCGCAAATTAAGTTCCATCTGCATTGTGTTATTTTTTTATTATTTTTTTAATTCCATCCCCCCCATATCCGAAGCCCGCCATTTTGGGAATATTATTTAGGATGCATAAATATACATTAGAATATCTTACTGCTCCTGATTATAATAAGCATTATTCTAATTAATGGGGGCAAGCAGTTGCAGTGCATCCATTTGGAAAATGAGGCATGGGCTGCTTTGAGGTCTTCTCGTTATTCCTCCATCTACTGTTTTCTTTTTTTCTTTAGCTTTTTTCCTTGAGAGGACAGAATTATGGATGGCATGATCAACAGAAGAAATGGTCCAGGCTAGAGAAAGTCAATGATCCATGATGGAAGAGACCCAAGGCTTGGAATCTCAAAGACTAGCAACTAGTCTCCTAGCTCATGAAAAAGTACAAGTAATCCTCAACTTACAACCCGCTTGTTTGGTGGCCATGCAAAGTTACAACGCCACTGAAAAACGTGACTTATGACCATTTTCCCATTTACGATCTTTCCAGCATCCCCAGGGTCATGTGATCAAAATCCAGCGGCTGGGCACCTGGTTCATAGTTATGACCGTCACTGTGTCCCCAGAGTCACGTGATCCCCTTTTGCGACCTTCTGACAAGCAAAGTCAATGAGGAAGCCAGATTCCCTTAACAACCGGGTTACTATCTTAACAACTGCAGTGATTCCCTTAACAACGGAGGCCAGAAAGGTTGTAAAGTGGGGCAAAATTCACTTAACGACAGAAATTTTGCTCTCAGTTGTAGAGTGGCAAGTTGAGGACTACCTGTATAAAATGGAGGTACATTAGAAAGGCCTCCATTGGTTGCATATTTGAAGATGTAGGGAGTGACCTTCAAGGCTTTGAGACATGACCCCGGGACAACGCAACCGTCATAAATACCAGTCGGTTGCCAAGGGTCTGAATGTTGACCACGAGACCCTGGGGATGCTGCAACGGTCCTCCATGTGAAAAACGATCGTGTCACTTTTTCAGGGCTGTTGTAATTTTGAATGGTCATTAAATGAACTGTTGTGAGTTGAAGACTAGGCGTAGAGGCTGGCGATGGAAGCCTGCCGATGAAGGAGAAAGGAAAGAGAAACTCTACGAAACCTCACAATAAGTGTAGATAAATCTATTTCTGACACAGAACGCATATAGAAACAGGCACCCGGGTCTTTTTTTAATGTCCACATATGAAATAACCCAGATTTAAGATTTTCTGCAAGAGAAAAGGTCTGGTGAATTTGGGCCTGTTCCGAGGTTGCGGTGGTAGTCTTTCAGACCTCACCTTTCTGTGACTTACAAGACACTGTAGGAAACGGCTCTTCCCATGGGGGAGGCTTCACCTCTGAGTCCTCTTCCTGTTTTGATGTCCCGTCTCTAAATAGCTAAGGGTTCAAGTCAAGTGATTTCCCTCCCAGACTGTTGAAGGAACAAAGACCTTCCTTTCATTTGTCTCATTAATCAGAAGCCAGCAATGCCTTGTACTCCGGTCACCGCGTACAAGGAAGTCCACCTCAAAATAGCCTGCTGGAGATCTAACCATCCCTTTTGCAGGTTGTCCTCGACTTACAGCCACAGTTGAGACCCCAAAATTTCTGTTGCTAAGCGAAGCAGTCAGAAGAGAGTTTTGCCCCATTTTGCAACGATTCTTGTCTTCTTTCCTTCTACCAGATCTGTTTGCAAGGTCCAGAATGGGCAGTTATTCTGATGACCCCCTTCCTTCCTTCCTTCCTTCCTTCCTTCCTTCCTTCCTTCCTTCCTTCCTTCCTTCCTTCCTTCCTTCCTTCCCACTATTTTATGTGAGAGACACAAAAGAGAAGTACAGGACAGTGTTCCTTCTCACATCACGTTTGCACACCTGGAAAGTCACCTTGCCAGGGGAGAATGTTTTAGATTGAAATTTTAGACAGAGGTTTTGATATGAGAAGACTTGGGAGATGCTGAAGGAACTTGAGCTCTACGCATTCTTCTCCCAGGGAGCCTGCTTGACTCAAGTCAATGCACTGGTATTGGGCTAATGGATTTTGCAGGCACTCCTCCAGGTTCTGGGCAATTTCAAACCTCCGAGCAGATGCATTTGTATCCTTCTTTTCAAGGAGAGGCGACATCATTTAAACAGAGTGGAGTTCTTTTTTCAAGGAACCTGCAGGAGACTGTAGAAGGGGAGTAGATTAGGCTGAAGGGGGTAAGCAACCCAAAATACATGCAGGATTAGATGCAAGCAAAATTGATTGGTTGAAACACCGCAATAGTTCCAAGTAGGTTGCTTTGAAGGTCTTAAAAACAATGGCAGTTACGAAGATAGGAAATGACGAATCTAAGAAATATGACCTGCTTTCTTCTATGTCTTCTCAAGCCCTAGCCGAGTCACAGGAATTGTTGAGGAGTTGCCTCACCACTACCATCTTCATCTTCATCACCACCATCAACAATCCTCTTAGCTTGTGGATCAACCAAGCTTGACCAGTTACTCTCACCTAACTGAAAGTCTTTAAAGCATATCTAGAACCAGCAACATCTATTTTAGCCAACATGGCTTATTGTTAGGATGGGAGGAAAGCCAGGGACTTTCTGAAATTTTGAAGTCTCCAAAGCCCATCTATAATAGCCAACATGATTTATTGTCAGGGATGATGGGAGCTAGCCAGAAGACTTATGAACTTTGGAAGACTCCAAAACCTATCTTAGCCAACATGGCTTATTGTCGGGATGGTGGGAACTAGCCAGGGCCTTTCTGAACTTTAGAAGTCTCCAAAGCCCAACTTCTTTAGCCAACGTGATTTGTCAGGGAGGTGGAAGCTGGCTAGGGTCGCTTATGAGCTTTGGAAGACTCCCAGCCTCCGTCTCTCCGACCTGACCTATGGATAGCCAACTCCCTCATACGGGGAGAAGAAATCGCATCCACGTTTGAGCTCATGAAAGGAAAAAGGTTTTATTCATGGTTCCAGACTACATAGAACTACCACGAGGAAGACTTCAGTTCAGGGTGTAATCCAGTTAGAAAGCAACACCAAACGGTTTAATACATTAGAATCACTGCCACTTTTTTTTTTTTCAAATTGAGCCAATCAGCTTCAGAATCACATACTATATAAAAGAGAAAAAAAGGAAAGAAAGAAAGAAAAATAAAGGGCGCCCACCCACCCCTTTCCCTAATTATTACAGGGTGAAATATACTGAATATCAAGAACGGTCTGCTTTACAATCCATTATCGGTTTCAGGTTTTTTTTCTCTCTCTCTTTTTCTTTCGCGTGAATTAAGATAGCAACAGGATGAAAGAACATTCAAAATGTTTCTCCGTATTTACAAACAGTTTGACTGTTTAGCGTCGAACTCAAAATTTCTATTTCAAAGCTTTCAGGTGTCCAGGTTTTTTTGTTTAATATATATATATATATATTTATATTTATATATAGAATCAGTTTTTTTTATTATTTTTCAAAAGTCACAAATGCAACCTGGATAATTTTTTTTCCTTTTTTTAAAAAAAAACACGTTTTCTTTTTCCTTCTTATTTAAAAGATTACAATGTACAAGTACATGGAGGAAGAACCAAAAGAGTCGGTTACAAGATGGTTAAAAAAAAATAATCAAAAATAAAAAGAGGGAAGAGATTAAAGTGGAAGGGGGGGGGAAGAAAAGTACAGCGTGAGTATTGTTTAGAGCAGACTTCCTCAACCCAGCACCCTCTGGGTGTGTTGGACTATAATTCCCATCAGCCCCGGACAGAAGACACGGCTGACCAGTGATGGTGGAGGCTTATCGATCTACACATCTGGAGAGCTCCAGGTTGGCGAAGGCTTGTTCAGAGGTAGTAGTGAGCACTCTAAGCTAAAGAATGATTCTATTGGTTTGTCATGAGTTCGCATGAGGTAATAAAGCTGTGTTTTGATTGGTGAGATGTATAAATATTCTTTTTTGCTACACTATATACAGCAGTCCAGAGAATGGCGGCTGTTTGGCCTTTGGCCAACACGAAGGAGCAATGGCCAAACCCCGGCGGATGCAACTCGGTACGCGACGTGTCAAAACTTGGCAACCGGGTTTATATATATATTTGCAAACATATATATATATATATATATATATTTGCAAACATCAAAAGCCAGTGTCTCCGCCTCGCACGGATTGTCTGTGCCGGACAACAGACTAGGAGGAGAAGAGGCACTGTGCTGTTTGTGAAGGTTCAAAAAGAAGAAGACGCCCCTCGGTGAAAGGAGGGACCCCCGACAAAAATCAGCAGGAGACCAACAAAGGGTTGAGAAAGGAAGAGTTTTGCCCTGCGCTGAAAAGCCGGACACCACTAAGGTTGGGCAACTCCCTTCCGGGGATCGGTGGAAGTTTGGTGGGGGTGAAGGTCTCCCCAGCTCTCCCCTTCCCCTCTCACAAGCTCAGTCTGGTGCCGATACTCAAATTTATTCTTAAGAACAAAGTCTTCGAAGACCTCTTCAGGCCAAGAAGCCAACGACTAGGTGGCCATCTTTTAAGAATCCGCTGGAGAATATGACAGGCAGAATGCGCCATCTTGGCCCCCAGCTGGATAAAGTGCTCGGTTGTTTTCGTTTGTTTTGCTTTTCCTTAATATGGAGCGAGTGTGCATCCCTCGGTGAGACTGAAGTACCAAGGTTTAAAATCAGACCTTCCTTTAAGAAAAAAAAAACCCACTTTTTTTTTAAAAAAAAATATCAACAACACAAAATGAGACCAACCCACTTCTTTTGGGTTTTTTCTTTCTTTCTTTTTGCGTCTTTCTTTTCCTTCTGGGTTTTCGAATGAACGGAGAAGGCATCTCAGCGAATTGCGGGGCAAGAAGGGGGAGAGCAGGGGGAGGAGGAAGGACTTGTGAGATTAATTAGAGGTATCGGAGTGCACGCTTCCCGGGCCTTCTGTTGGAGAAGTCACCGAAGATGGAGTGGTCGCATCCTGCCAGCCTCCATTTGCCTGGGAGAAAGGGAAAAAAAAGAAAGAAACAGAGTCAGGAGAACCGATGTGACCTCACTCCAGGAATCCTTGGCAACTCACAAGGAACCGGATAATGTCTACTTTAATGAAAAGAAGGATTAAGGGTGACACGATAGCAGTCTTCCAGTATCTCAGGGGTTGCCACAAAGGAGAGGGAGTCAAGCTATTCTCCAAAGCACCAGAAGAAGGCAGGACAAGAAGCAACGGGTGGAAACTAATCAAGGAGAGAATCAACCTAGAACTAAGGAGAAATTTCCCGACAGTGAGAACAATGAACCAGTGGAGTCAAAAAAGTCCAATCTTCTTTGAGTGTTTTACCAAAATTTTCTTCTCCTTAGAAACAGAAACAAAGCAAAGTCTGTAAGGTCCTCGGCGCTCTCTGAGCTGGGTGTGTTTTCTTGCAGACATTTCATTACCCAGCTAGGTAACAGCATCAGTGCTAAGAAGGAATGGGGCATGCCCTGTTTATATGCAGTAGCTCTGAGCTGTGTTGTTTTGTTGCAGGAGGGGAAGGAAGGAAGGGAGGGAGGGAGGGAGGGAGGGAGGGAGGGAAAGGCTCATCAGAATAACTGCCAATTCTGCACCCTGCAGACAGATTTGGTAAAAGGAAGATGAGAGCTAGGTTTTCTCTCCTGTCCTTTAAGATTGTTCCAGGCAGTACGTCTCTCCCCCTTTCCCCCCCATTTGATCCATGCCACCAGACAAGGTGTTCAGCCATTCCCCTCTCTCTCCTGCCCTCTTCCATCGGGCCAGCTACGTCCGAAGCCCGATGCCCAGTTTGACAGCAGCGCAAGCTGACCCTGAAGCCTTCCAGCAAAGGAGCCACTTTCTGAAAGCGCTCGTGTCGCAGAAGAGGCAGGGAGGGAAATGCTTCACACGGCTGGATCTTAATTTCGTTTTTAAAAAAGTCCCCTTCTGGGCACCTGTCAGAGCCACTTAGAAGCTGGCGGAGACAAGGGCCGAGTTTCCCTCCAAGTGCAACAACGATGGAGCAAAGATCAGGAAGGGCGGGAAGCAGAGAAGGAGGAAAACTCCTGGGCCTACTGTCCAATTACCCATCGAGAGAATCCCCATTTTTTTCCCCTGAGGCCGTAGTCCCCGTCACGGCCTGTTGCTGGCCCCGCAGCGCCTCTGATCTGCATCCTCATGTGCCCGTTGAAGCAATGGCTGGGATCAACGTCGGATCGGATTTCCACTGCGAAGGACAACTTGTCATTCCATATTTTCATGTCAGTCTGAAAAGCAGGCGGGTGTGGGCTACCCAGACCGAGAGAGATGCTCAGTGGAAGCGACAGGGGCAACGCTGGGTTGGAACGAGACAGACCAACTTGCAACCCTTGGCATGACCTCAGAGCTCGGTCCTGGCTCGGCAACCAGGAGAGCAAAGCAGCCTCTGACCTGAATAGAGCTGGTGGCCGCGTTCTCCAGCAGGTTCCACCCGTAACAGGACCATGGCTTGAAATGCCAGCAGGAAAAGGAAAAGTGAAGGATGCATGAGTGACCTGCTTGAAATGTAACCTTTTCGAGTTACATCTAGGAGTATGTCTCTTGTCTCCTTCCTTCCTTCCTTCCTTCCTTCCTTCCTTCCTTCCTTCCTTCCTTCCTTCCTTCCATCTCTCTTCCTTCCGTCTCCTTCCAGCCTTGTTCCTTTCCTTCCCTTCCCTTCCCCTCCCTTTTCCTTTCCTTGTCTCCTTCCTTCCATCCATTCTAGATAGATGATATCCCTAGTTAGGCACTCTCCATCCAGCCCTCCAAGGAGCCTGGCTTTTTAATGGGCAGGCAAAGAGATTTGCAACCAACAGGAAATGAAACCCTACATTTAAATTTAATTTCAGGAAGCCCTAAAAACACGGCTTCGTCAGCAGGCCCAAGGAACACAAATGGAAATGGAGGCAGTCAAGTGGCTATAATGTCAGTGTAGTGTTGCTGCCACTGGGGTTGGGATAGGGTTTTTTTTTTTCCCTCCCCTTTTGAACAGTTTTATTTTATGGTGGATTTTTTTTTTAAAGGTTTAAGCCAGCCGGAGTCACCTGTATGAGAGTTGGACGGCTCTACAGTGTAAATTTGTTTAATAAGTAAATAATAAAATAAAAGTGTGATTGTACAAGAATTGTGGGGCTGAAAAAGCCAGATAGGAAAGGTAAAACGAGCATTTTGGAAAACAAAACAATGTATTAGGGTGGGGGAAAAAAACCCAGCAATTGGAATCTAACGGTTTTTCCGTGTCTCTCAACTGGCAAAAGTTTAAAACAAATCAGCACGGGGTGTGTGTTTTTTCCAATCAATTCAGACATTATTATTGTTTTTAATTCCTGTACAGCAGCAGAAATCTCCCTAAGAGAGGAGAAGAAGAAGAAGAAGGAAAAAAAAAGAGCCTGCAGATTCACGTCTAAAGATATTCCATTCGAAGTGAACATCATATCCTCTTTATCCAAATTCATAAACACAAATGTACAATATTTTTACTCGGCTTGGCAGCTGGGAGAGAAATTGTCAGCTGGGATTTCTTTACTCTCCTTCCCTCCTTCTCCCTCCCCCCCTGCCCCAAATAAATTAATCCTTACATTGGTGGTTGAAGATTATGGACTGTATAATACAGAGGTGCCTTATCAAACCTCATCAGCCAAGATGGAATTCACATCCGGCAAACACACACACACACACACACACACACACACACACACACACACACCAAAACGCTGCTAGCTATCAACAGCTTTCATATTTTATCATGTTGATAAGGATATCGCAAATTCTCTGAAGCATTTCAAAACACTTAAATGAAAAAAAGGGGGGGAGAGAAACGGCAACTAAAAGGCTCTTTATATGCTTTGTTGTGGGTGATTATGTGTTATTTATAAAAAACCCCAAAAGAAAGATTTGACATTTCCAGTGGTGGTGGGGAGGGGGGGCGGAGAAGGAGGAGGAGGAAAAAAGAGAGAGAAAGATTTGAGTGTTTAATGGGATTTTCCCCAACCTCCCTCTCCAGCGATGTCTTCAATCACTTTGAAAATCATTAATATTTACTCCGCTGGCAACTGGGAAGCGGGAAAGGAGGGAGAAAAAAAAAAGGAGGAGGAGGAGAGGAACAAGGGAAAATATTCCCTAATATCGCTCTGATGCAGAATTCTACTGAAGATGCTACCCACTCCTGCTCTTTGGAATTCTGATTTTAGCAGGCTCCACCCAATGTCACCAGACCTCCAAATTTAGAACAGTGATAACCAATGGTGGCATGTCACCCTACTACTCTGGCACTGATGATGTGACCTAGGTAGGTCATGAAACGTCTGCGAGAAAACAAACCCAGCTCAGAGCTACTGTATATAAACGGGGTGAGTCACACTCACTAACCCTGAGGATGTTACATAGTTGGTTCATGAAATGTCTGCAAGAAAATAAGCAAGCTCAAAGAGCACCAAGGACCTCACAGTCGCCGCCCTCCTGCTCCTCCTCCTCCTGCTCCTCCTCCTCCTCCTCCTCCATTTTCATAACCAAATGGAATAATGTTAATCGTAATAAATACTTTTAACCACAAGCAGAACAGCCACCGTTGGAGAACAGTCCTTATCTGATGACCAACAGAGAGGGCTATTAGTTATAGGGTGCTATAATGCTGAGTTTCACTGTGGTTCTTGAGGGTGTTTGCTGGGGACGAAAGTTGCCTAGAGTTGTTACAATCAGGTAACAAGGAGATCACAATTGGTAAACAACCCACAAAGAATGAAATGCAGCCTGGTCCTCCATAAAGACAAATGATGGCCCGCAGTTTCTGATGTGACCCTCTTTATTTTTTTTCCCACTGGAAAAGGAGATTTGTGGGGGATATGAATGCCTGTGTTTGTGTGCTTGTGTGTGTGTTTCAAAACCTTCTGCAGGATTAACACTGCTGCAGGAAGTCTTTAATGGTCCTGGTCTGACCGTGTCTCCCCAATCCGACAGTTCAGTCTCATCTCCTTTTGCTTTATCAATAACGAGGAGAGATAACCTTTCTCCCCAAAGTGACAGCTTCCCACAAAATGGCGACAAGAACGGATTCATTACCGCCACAGCGAAGGACAAGCTGACCTCAGCGGCAGAAAACCAGGCCAGAGAAATTCCTCCTGGGAGCTTTCTAAGTCAAGACACAACCAACCTGCCCTTCGGATTGCATTCCTACAGCATTCTCAAGGTCTCCATCCATGTCCTTCTCCTTCTCCAGGTGAGGCCTCCGCTTCCCTGCCAGACGATGCTCTTACTGACCAACTAGTTGAAATTAAACTCGGGTGGGTTTAATAACAGATCAAGAGAGAAGGAAGGGATTAGCTCCAGAGCTCCTCAAATGGGCTGGAAATTTCTCTCTCTCTCTCTCTCTCTCTCTCTCTCTCTCTCCCCCCCCCAAACCTTTCTTTTCAGAGTTTGATGGGAGGAAAAAAAAAAAAAAAGAACTTGGAAACTTCTGCTGAAGGAGAGAGGAAATCCCTGCATTATGTCAATGCTCCAGCAAAGATACAGAGTTGGTTTTTCCTATCCGTGGATCAAAAGGGCTTTTCTGACTGAGAAGAAGGCAAAGTGAAGGAGAAGGAAGGGAGAATTTGTCTTTGGACAAGGAGGTCAAAAATGAGTGTGGAGATGCGGGACGATCGTGGGTCCAAGAGACTTCTGAGCTTCGGTGACATCCAAAATAACAAGAGTTGGAAGGGACTTTCTACTCCAAACCTCTGCTGGAACAGGAGACCCTCTACCATTCCAGACAAATGGCTGTCCAATCTCTTCTTAAAAGCCTCCAGTGATGGAGCACCTGCAACTTCTGAAGCTGTTCCACTGATCCTTGTTCTCACTGTCAGGAAGTTTCTCCTTAGTTCCAGGTTGCTTCTCTCTTTGATGGGTTTCCATCCGTTGCTTCTTGTCCTGCCTTCAGGGGCTTTGGAGAAGAGCTTGACAGCCCCTCAAATATTAGAAGGCTGCTATCATGTCACCCCTGCTCCTTCTTTTCATTAGACTAGACCTACCCAAGTCCTGCAACCGTTCTTCGTACGTTTTAACCTCCAGTTCCCTAATCATCTTTGTTGCTCTTCTCTGCGCTTTTTCCCAGAGTCTCGACATCTTTTTTACAACCAAGCTGCTTTTTATGCTCCCCGCCCCCCCCATCGCCCAAAGTTAAGATTTCAACCCAACATTAATAAATATTCTTTATTGGGAGAGTCCATTCCCCCTGTTGTGGCTCCGGATCTGTTGTGGCCAGAAGGAAGCGAGCATGTGTTGACTCCACCCAGCCCTGGCCCAAAGGGTCATAAACAGAACTCACATTTAAATTATGTGGACTGTACAGTGAATTTCCTCCCAAACCATCACTGTATCCTCCCGTCTGATTGATAACATGACGCAGGGTATCCACCTGCAGCGAAAAAATAAATAAAAAAAAACACAAGGAAGGAGAAGGTGTTGACGTACCCACTGGTGACCTTCTCGCACACACACCCCCGAGTTAACAATGCACAGCTATTTTTGAGACGGAGAACGGAAAGGGGAGCGTTGTGCCTTTCTCTCCAAGGTTCCTGGAGAAAGAACGGGGACGGATCAAGACGGGGACCGAAACGGAAACCCAGAGCCAACACCACAACAGCAGAGGGCAAAGCCACGCCGAAACCAGCCCGCACCCACGACAACTTTCAGATGGAGAGCCAAACCGCACACCCAACCCGAGGCCACCAGGCCAAGCCAGAGCCGAACTGCATTCACAAAGTGTGTAAACTTTCCAATGGGACGTGGGGGAGAGCGGGGAAAAGGCATCCAGCTTTTCACCGGGACAAAACCCGGTGCTTCGAAAGATCAAATGTCGGGTTTGGTCGCACGCCAAACACCGGAGGCCGAGCCAAATTGTGCCTGGAGGTGTCAACCGGTTGCATTGTTCCAAAGCCCGGAGGCTGGAAGGTGAAATTTGCAGTTGGATTGCTCCTTGGTTCGCTTCCCCCTATATATTTGGGATTTTTAAAAAAATTTGTTTTGGTTTGTGTGTTTGTTTTTTAAATCAAGCCCGAACCAGACCCTGCTACCTACGCCCTAATTTAGCGGGGCGTCGGGTTTTTTTTTGTTTTTGTTTTAATTTCTGTTGTCTCCTACCTGTGACTGCACATTGGCTCCAACTTGAGACCCCTGGTAAGTCTCCCCATTCAGATTCTGCATGTTCATGAACATGTCCCCAGAATTAGGAAGGTTAAAAGAACTGGAAGTACCTGGAAAACGAGAGAGTTAGCGGAGCTGAATCAACTGAGAGGGCAGCAAACAAAGGCGGCGTGCGGACCCCCTCCCTGGAGACTTATGAAAGACACGGGGGGGGGGAGGCAGAGGAAGAGGAGAGGAAGCCCAAAGTGGCTGGGGATGAAGAACCAGGACCTGCTCAAGCTATGGGGGGGGGGGAAACTGGGGATCTCCAGGGTGCCAGGGAGAAGCAGAGAGGACACACTCCCTGGCTGAAACTCCCGGAGACGGTGGCAAGCGGGCTGGAAAAATATTGTTGTTGCGGTGGTTGTTTAACTGTGTTTGTTCCCAAGAGGCTGCCTTCCGGAGAGAGCGGAACAGCAGCAGCATCCTGGCTGCAGATGATAAGAGTCCCAGTCCAGCCAGTTTTGAAGAAGGAGGAGGACTTACACCTACTTGAGCTGAACCGCTCGCCAATTCCTTGGCACTTGGAGGCTCCCATGATGGAGGACAAGCCCTGACTTCAGTCTAGAACTGTAGACTCTAGAACTGTTTTTTTTTCCTTTTTCCAAATGCTATTTTTTTTTTTTTTTTTTTTAGAAAAAAGGCAGAGACTTACCAGAGTTCGGTGTGGTGGGTGAGTTGGTCTGGTTATTTTGGACCGCAGCGGCTACAGCGTGAGCTGCCGTCACGGCGGTTTTTGCAGCGTACAGGTTGGCTTCCTCTTGAAACTTCCCTATGTTTTTCTTGTACCTGATTCTCTTGTTGCCAAACCAGTTGGATACCTGGAAGGGGAGAGGGGAAGAGAGGGAGGGAGAGGGAGAGGAAGAGAAGAAGAAAAGGAAAGAGAGAGAGAAAGAGAAAAGAGGAGGAGAGAGAGAGAGAGAGAGAGAGAAAGAAAGAAAGAAAGAAAGATAGAAAGAAAGAGGAAGGGGAGGGAAAGGAAAGGAAAGAGAATACTGGGCTGAATACAAGAAGTTCAACATTAGAGGGCAAATGATCGGTCATATTCTGAATGTTTTTTTTTTCCCTTTGAAAGCATTTCGCTTCTCATCCAGGAAGCTTCTTCAGTTCTGGACCTTCAGAAAGAGCCTTCAGAACAAGAGTCGAGGAAGGGGCAGGAGACTCCGTAGGGACACTTCTACCCTGGAGAACAGGAAGGCCGTTCTTACAAATCCTCCGTAGATCTAAAAGGGTTTGGCTGGGGAAACGCTCTCCCTTGCCCAGGCCATCCAACTGCTGCAACTGAAACAAAGGCGAGGTCTTGTGCAAGCAGGAGAACCCTGGCTGCCACCCTCCCTGGCCTTTGCTCCCCCCTAAATTAATGAAAACCCTCCGAGCTTCGAAGGCAATAAGCCGAGGTGCATCCTTTGGCCCCCCAAATTCCCAGGACGACCCACTGAAGTATTACATATATTGCACTTAATATTACCTTGTCAGTCAGGAAGCAATAAAGCATTAATGAAAGCCGGCAAATAATTACTATGGACAATCCAATTATGGCTTTATTAACAGTTTCATAATTGCAGAATCTCTATACGTCAAGCAGATTGTCTGTGGATATATAAGAAATCCGGGGCGTTTATGCACACCTCCGGACCAATCCAGCAATGCCTGCCACTAATAAAGGCTTGTTTAATTCACAGTAAAATTTTAATATCCCTGCAGCCTAGGGAAGGCAGAGATTTCCTTGACATCAGATTGTTTCCACCCTGCCAGTCCCCCCTAGTTCTTAATCTTTAATATCAAGGCAATTAAAATTAATGGCTACTCATCCATAGCTACTGTGGGCAGTGTTGTCTTTGCCATCCATTGTTTGATGGGATTACCTAGAGGTTAAACTAACAAGCAAAGTTTAATTGGAAGCAATGAAAGGCGCAGTGGATCGTACATTATGTTTAACCTGCACAAGGCAACCCCGGGAATATTAGTCAGGGCAGGCCTCCTCCCAGTTTAAAAAATAAAATAAAATGAACACACAAAACATCCACTATTCTTCTTCTTCTTCTTTTTAATCCCAGCCTCTCCTTCTAAGCAATCCTTATTCCCTGAACTAAACTGAGGAGGCAGTTGACAAGAGTCGAGAGGGGACACCTTCCTGCTGTGCACAAGAAAAACCACACGCTCTGCACACGGTGTGCAATTTAGGCAGGCCACGCTATCTTCAAAGCCACGGCTAACTCCATCCTTTAGTAGCTCATTCCTCTTCTGAACTGCCTCCAAACACAGCCAGGCGTGGGCTTGCAGGCTCAGATGAAAACAAAAGGACTGATGGCCACTTTTTTCATTTTTTAAATACCACCAAGCCACTAGTTTCCTCTTGAAAGCGAAGAAATAAAGCCTCGATGAATTTTGGCTGTCCGGGCACACGGTGGCAAAGCCAGACAGCAGCTACGGAGCCTCCGAATAAAATCTCGAATCTAAAAACGGCCCTACATTTCACCAGGTGGTCTTTTAAAACCCCCTAAAAACAAAGGATGGACCTTCCGCCTCCTTCAATGGGAGGGAAGAAGGCGCTGGTCCCCTGCAGAGGTCTCCAAGACCCGGCGTCCTTCGATTAAGCGACACCTAAGACTTAACCAAATTGCCATCCCTCGCAGATGGCCTTTCTTTTCTTCAAGAAATAGAAAATAATGCAAAACATAACAAGCCTTGGCCATCGCTTGCAGAAGTCAATAAAGAGGTCCAAATCGAATCACCCTCGTCCTTGACGGAGGGGCTGTTCAGACCTATCGGAGGAGGCATCACTCTCAAGAAATGGGATTTGCAAAAAAAAAAAAAAGGGGGGGGGGCTTTGGAAAGAGTTCCTGGAATCTCACTGCCAGGCTGAGGACAAGGTTGTGCTCAGTGTCAAGACTAACAGCTGTCCTACAGCTCAGGACCCCCTTGACCTTTTCTCCAGACAGAGGTAGGAGCTGCCCCTTCAGACAAGACAGAAGAAACTCAAGCTCAAGGGCCTGTACCCTGAGGCTTTGAACATCCGTGATTCCACCATTTGCAGAGTAAGCTGGCTCTCTCCTTTTCCCAGCCATTCCCAAAGCTTTCATCTCCTTCCTGCATGTTAGAAGTTTTATTATGGGGTGGAGGAGAGGATGGATAGATACATCTGTTCGGCGCCCCATTTTTCATTTAAAGAAATTATCTGCGCATTTCCAAGGCCCGGCCAACATCGCTCTACTCTCAGTCACTGAAAGCCAATTAATTAATTGGGCTTAACTGTATATTACATTTCAAACAATACCCTTGCCCTGATTCATCACGTTAATTGCAATGCTAAATTTTCAAAAAGGCAATAAATTATTGTTAAATCAGAAAGATGCGCAACTTTGGGGGGGGGGGAGAAATGACGCCATGTGTGCGACAAAGCACATTTGTTTGATCTTGGATCAGGAAGGATGGCTACCATCACATGCTGGGCTCTACACATCAAAGAAAAAACAAAGCTTCAACTTATATTTCTCCTTGTTTGGTTGTCAGCTTCGTATCTTGCTTTTAATTAAACGATCGTTGTTGGGTTGCTCAAAGATGGTTTAATTTTGATCAAGTGTACAAGAGATAGCTTGAGATGCTCTTTAGGTGTGACTCTTTCAATGCTAAATGCTCATCCGTGGCTCTACCACGTTACCTCCTGTTCAAAATGCATGATTAATTAATAATACAGGTTTTCACCCTCCAATTTTTTTTGTTTTTATTACATCTGTCCTGGTTATCACTGTATGAAATGAGACCTCTTTTTTTATCCAAGCTTCACTGATCCTCCAAGGTAACAATGCGCAATTTTTTTTTCCCAGTCCAGGACTGGATTTGATTCGAATGGTGTCTTTGAGACTTCCCTCTAAAAACGGTGGATCAAGTCCAAAGCAGTGAATTTAGCCAAGGCTTTCTCATCTTGTGGGTGTTGAAAACCTCAAACAGAAACCCTGTAGCCTCTTCCATAGACTATAAAATGGACCCAGAGTTTTTTCCAAGAGGTTTTTTTTTTTTTTTTTTTGGTTCTACTGAGTGGGAGCAACTACACAATTGAGTAACTTGCTTCCATGGAGACCTAGGTGCTCTCTAAGCTTAGTTGTTTTCCTGCAGACATTTCATTACCCAGCTAGCTAACATCAGCAGTACCAGTGAGGGTGGCTTGTTCCCAGTTTATTTACAGCAGCTCCGAGTTTGATGGTTTTCCTGTAGACGTTTCATTACCAAACTAGGTAACGCCTTCAGTGCTAGAAGGGAGTGGGATTTGCTCCCTGTTTATATACAGTGGCTTGCTCTGTCAGTTTTGCTGGCGGTGTCAGTAGTTCTTTGGTTAGGGTATTGTTTTCTCCTTGGTTGTTTGTCTGGTGTTAATCTCTGCTTATCTGAATACTGGGTGCTGGTTGCAGGGCAAGCGACTGAATGTAAACAGGGAGCAAGTCACACTCAATAGCACTGATGAGGTTCCCTGGTTGCATAATAAAATATCTGGAGGAAAACAAACCAGTTGGACCCCGAGCTAGAAATATTCTCTTCTGTTGGTAACTCGCTTTGACTGGCTTCCAAAAATTCCTCCCAAAAAAAAGATCAACATCAATTCGTTTTGGAGGTGTCCAATGAACAACTCATAATCTGGGTCAAGAAGAAGAACACTTCTCCCTACAGAGGGGCAATGCCTTCCATCGCAGATGTCAGCCCTGGAAAATCAGGAAGATGAAAACCAGAGACAAAGAGCAGAAAGGACCGACTGTATTTTGGCCATCGGTTTTCCAGGGATCTGCCCGCCCATGCTGTAAATAAGATCCCGATCTTTGGTGGAGCATTAAGATAATCCTTTTTAGGGTTTTTTTTTCCCCTTCTGCTGCCACCTTTCAGATTTCCATGCCCGTATGAGAAATGTGGGCAAGCGGGCTGACAACCCAACCTTTTTTTTTTTTTTCCCCTCTCCTGCTCTTTCTCTCTCTAGCCACAAAGGAACAATGCTGGACAGAGTTCAAGTAGGCCACAGAGAATTCCTTCCTTCCTAGCACATAATTAGGTGATTCACATGAGTAGGCCTCCTTTACAAAGGCCAATCGTATCCTACGTGAGGCCGGCTTTTAAATTCTAATTAGCCGCGCTCGGTGCAAGCTCCCTTGTCACCAAGGAGGGCTGAGAAAGCTTTCGCAGCAGAGTTAAGATGGGAATCTAGCCATCCTGGAGCTGCTTAGCTCGTCCAAGGTACGCAACTACCCACCGCACATTCGACAAAGGACGGGGATCTTTTGGCTCTGTGCACAGACAACCCAAACATCAAGGGTCAAACTTGGAGCAAGCTTATGGAGTGTCTGCTGGCAGACGGCGGCCGAAAGGACACAGGACAAGCAGGCGGAGGTCTTTAGGGGACGGGCCAGGAGAAGCAACCCTTAGAAATGGCAACAACACTGGAAGGGAGGGGGGAGGAAGAAGAGGGGAGGGAAGAAGAGGACCAGGCAGAGAACAATCACTGTTCTGGGGCCTACAAGCAAAGGGTTGGGCTTGGATATTGTGTTAGACAATTGAGGGACAGAGAGAGACAAATCAGAGAGAGAGAGAGAGAGAGAGAGAGAGAGAGAGAGAGAGAGAGAGAGAGAGAGAGAGAGAGAATGCCTGGCTGAGGAATTCTGGGAGTTGAAGTCCACAAGTCATAAAAGGGCCAAGTGTGGAGACCCCTGGCCTAACCCGTTGATTGACGGGCCAAGAAGTTGGCCTGGTAGGCGAGCAAAGCCAAGGCTAAATCCTTGTTCCTGGGTTGGTCTTGGGACAACGTCTGAAAGAGTTTGTCTACGTCAGACAAGCCAGACCTTCTTGGTGGTGGCACCACAGCTCTGCGCCTCAATGGATGGAATAGGAGGCAGAAGTCAATCTATCAGAGATGACCAGGGTGAGCCTGAGGGTGAGGTCAGACATATCATCTGTCTGGAGTCTCTACACCCTTCCCCCAAAAGACCTAAATCCAGCCCCTCCCTTGAAATCTGTTGACTCTTACCTGCTAATTCACCTTGACCGTTCTTGTACATAGGTAGCCTGAAATAAGCTTGCATTGCTTTTGAACCCTATCCTGGTTCTTGAGTTCTTGCCCCTGACATAACCCTGGCTTTCCTCAAACACTTGAGAAGGCACTTGGCTACTAGCAGCTGCTTCAACTGCTGGGTTTAGTTGCTGTGGTTTACAACCTGAGTAGCATTTTACCCAGAAAGGACCGCTAAGGAAGCTTCTGAAAGCCACTCAGAAGTCAGAGACCGTCTGCAGTTCATCCCATTTGCCAAGAGAAGGTGCAGACCGACACAGGAAGGGCAATTTTAATTTCAGGAATGGCGACGCAGTGTAGTTCTCACAATGGGAACCTACTATCACCAAACTTCTTCTCAAGCCCTTCCCCCCCTCCCCCCCCACCGAAGGAGTTGGGTTTTACCTGCGATACCGTGATGCTGCATTTCTTTGCCAGCTCTTCTTTGGCTTCTTCGCTGGGGTAGGGGTTGCTGAGGTGGGAGTAAAAATACTCGTTCAAGATTTCTGTGGCTTGTTTACTGAAGTTGCGCCTTTTTCGCCTAAGAGCAGAGCAGAGGAGGGAAAAGGGAGGGGGAGGGGAGGGAGAGGAGGAAAGGAAAAGAGAGAGGGAGAAGAAGGGAGGGAGGGAAGAAAGAAAGAAAAGGAGAAAGGGAGAAATCCCACAGGTGAGACTCCAGGACGTCGTCTCCTGGACCAGAGATCTCCAAACGTGGCAACCTTAGGACTCGCAGACTTCAACTCTCCAGATTCCTCAGCCAGCCAATCTTAAGTAAAATCCGTTAAGCATTTACATTTAGAGGATTAAAGAAAAAAGAAAAAAAAACCAGAAGTTTGGAGCGGCTACTAAAACTGAGGCTCTTTCCTGCTGGCTGGGGGATTCTAGGAGTTGAAGTCCACAGGTCTAAAAGTTGCCAAGCTCAGAGGTTCCCCATCCTAGAGCAGGGGAAGAATTGACCTCGGAAGGTTGACCTTCGGAGAGAAGGTTGAAGTAAGGCCTTGGGAAAGAAGGATTTTTGGGTTCTGCCGTTGCGATAGGACCACGAGCTTCTCCAACTTTGCTTTGCTGGTGAACAGCTAGGAGATCTATCCCAGCCTGCCAGTAGATCTACCCGATCTACCCACCTGGCATCCAGGAACCGGGATCTCAAGATCATGACCGCTTCACAAGTGCTTTGCTTGAGCTGCATCTGGATGGAGCTGAATTTCCGGTGGATGATGCCCACCATCCTCTCGATCTCTTTGGGGGATATGGGCCGGGTCCGACTCTGCTCTCGGAGGAGGTTCATCACGTGGGTGGTGAATTCATTGCACGCCTGCAGGGGGGGGGAAGAGGGAGGAGAGAATGAGGAGGGAGGGGTACTTGGGGCGCACAACACACCCCATGCTCACCCCAGGTTCAAGAAACACAAGGGATATGTTCCAGTGATCTGCAATGCACCCAAAGTCAACCATGTTGTGGCTTCATACACTGTTCTGGTTCACAGGTCCTGCTCAAATAACCCCCGTCTCTAAACCGTAACAGCCCCAGCGTGGGTCTAACATGTTGTGTGAACTCAATCAGGGAGAAGCCCTTCCTCTAATCGAGTTCATTTTTGCTCTCTTGTTAGAATTACACCCTGTTTTTCCTCCAGGCCAAAAGCTTAGTTGCTACCTGAACCGAAAGTGATGTTTCCCCCCCACCCCAGCTCCCATCTGGCAAAGCTTTCTCCCGTGTCTTTATTCAGATGAAAGCAGCTGGCATGAAGAATTGCAGCAAACACATTGCTTTTGGTTCAGAACCAGTAAAACGGTAGTGGGCCATGACCCACAAGTCGGGGACCCCCGGCCTATACCATTTCAGACAAATGGCTGTCCAGTCTCTTCTTAAAAACCTCCAGTGTTGGAGAATCCACAACTTCTGGAGGCAAAGAGTTCCACTGATCCATTGTTCTCCCTGTCAGGAAATTCCCCCTTAGTTCCAGGTTGCTTCTCTCCTGGATTGGTTTCCATCCGTTGCTTCTTGTCCTGCCTTCGGGTGCTCTGGGGAATAGGCTGACCCCCTTTTCTTTGTGGCAGGATTAAGGTTAGGGTTAGGGTAAATGTCTTCCCCACCCCTGCTGCAGGATTGCTCCCCAAGAATGATTTGCAAGGACGCATCGAAAACAAGCGGAAATGTACAGCAGGTTTACATAAAATCGGGGACGGCTGTGTGATGCTTTAAGGCAGCTGGATATCACAGGATCACTATTTTCCCGCTGCAGTTTTAGCATGACAAATTGCCCGTTGGGTCCAGCCTGTTTTATTCTGTTTTCCTTTCTGGCCTGCAAAAAATAATAAACCCCCCTCCCCTCTGCCTTGTCAAGCAAGGCTCCTAGTTTGGGGGGTCCCCTTCCTTGCTCCCCCCCCAAAAAACCCCTCCTTTCAGAAAGAGGGGAATCTGTGCGTTCTGCGTGCTCGGCAGGTCCCCAGTTATCTTGGGAGTTTGGAGATGCTTACAAATACTTTTGCCTAGAGCGCAAAAAAAAAAAGTGTATTTCAATGTAATTATAGAAGATAGCTTTCAATATGTCATCTCTATTATAGCGGCTGTAAATTATGAAGAGAAGGATTTTTCTCCTGGCGCTGGGAAAGTGAAGGCAAGACATACTTTCCTGAAAGAGCTGGTGTGTCCCTTACCCCCCTCATCCTCCCCCCCTTCCCTGCTGCTTTAAAGTGTCCCCCCTTAACCGGCAACAAATGTCAAAATCAAACTCCAGGCAGGGGGCAGGAGGTGGGGAGGGGGCTGAAGCCACAATAAAGGCAGCGTCAGGCCTTTGCTTGTGGGCTCAAAGGAAGCCGCGGCAAGCAGGAGAAAAGCAGCAAGACATCAGGGCCAGCTCCCTTCTTGGGGGATAGAATTACAGCTGACCCAGATATCTGAAAAGGTCAGATAATGTTCCCTGTCTCCCACTATGTAGGTCATGCACGAGGCGGGACTTATGGGGCTCAGGAAAGTGGTGTCACGGTGGCTCCCACAATCGGTCAGATGTCCAGACTGGATTTGGCATTTTTGTCCACCTCTCTTCCCAAGGACCTGGGACGGGCAGATGTTGTCGTTTGATGGGTGTTTAAGGTCTAGCTGCAAGGTGTAAGCTGTTCCGAGTAATAAAGCTGCCTTTTGCAATTGACTGATGGGGATTTTGTCAATGCCACCAGTGTCCAAGTGTTGCTATTATTATTATAGTTCATCACAGACTCAGCCAGATATTTTGGCTGGATCTGGCATTTTTGTCCTTCCCAAGGACCTGGGATAGGCAGTTGATGGTGTTCGAAGCATCGTCCCAGGATGTAAGCTGTTCCGAATCAAGCTGCCATTTGCAATCGACTAATGGGGCTTTTGTCAATGCCAATGGTGATATTATGGTTTGTCACCCCACTTAGCTGGATGTTTAGGCTGGATTTGGCATTGAGTCTATCCCAAGGACCTGTTATTATTATCATGTACATGTTTTCCACAATTTTTTTTTTTTTTTTGCATTACTGGCTACATCTCTGCCCAAGACCCCAAGTTCTGCCTCTCTTAAATCCATCCTTCCAGGTGAGGATCAACATTAACCTTAACACATCTCAATTACAGACTGATTTTCACATGCCGTTTTTTGGAAATTAGAATGGCATGAATTTATATCGGTCTCCTATTGGCTACCTTCAGAAAGTTCCGCAAATGTGGTGGAATGGAGTCTGGATTCCCAGGAGGGAGGGGCTGAATTCCTGAGGACCGAGACATAGTAAAGCTTAGATAGCCTGGTCGTGTGAAAGAGGGCCAAGATGGGCTCTCTCTAGAAGTTCTCAGAGTATACATTTAACGAAGCGAGTACCTTGCTTTAGCCTGCCAAGATTCTGTCTATAGGCTAGGAACTGCTAGAAGAACCTCAATGTGTCTTTGTCAGTTTTTGGAGCTTGACCTCAAAGGAAAGAGGAACCAGGTAGAAAAGAATCAATCTCTAACCTGCTCATATTTCTCCAGCTCGGTGTGGTAGATCTGTCTGATCTGCGTCAATTTGGCTCGGTAATCTGAGTGTTCAATAGAATTATCTGAAGTTCCACCCGAAGCGGCCGCCGCTGCTGCCGCCGCCGCCGATCCGCCACCTTTCTCGGGACCCGAGACGCCTTCTGCGAGAAGCATATTGTCCAACCTCATGAGCTGTGGATCCGGAGGGTCTTCCTCTTGCGCCCCTCGGATGCTGAGACCTTGGGAGAAGGAAAGAAAAAAGGAGATCTCCGTTGGCTCCACATGAAATGTCCACACCTATGTTGCAAAGCCACAAAGCAATCTATAAGGCTTTATTTACAAGAAGCAGTTTTGGATAATGAAGGAAAAAGAAAAATTAGGAAGGCCTGATTTCAAACCGGCCAGTATTGTGAAAAAGGCAGGAATTCCTCGGCCCTCTCCATTTGTGCTATTTCAGAGAGGAATGCAGGACCTGAATATCCAAGGAAATGAGTCCATTTTGGGTGCTAAGTAAGAAATATCTCCTCTTTTTTTTGGGCTGTTCCATGATAAGTAACTCCTGATCTGGTCTCCGTTACTGCCTTGCCTGCACAAATCAGAGTCTCAGGGCTCCAAACATCTGGGCGGGTGGCAGCAGCATCTGTTTATTAGCAGGCAACCCCCCCCCTTAGTTCCTCTCTCTCTCCCCCCTCCCTCAAAGAAACGACAAGCTGCCCAGGAGAAGATCCCCGAGTTATGCCTTGTCAGCAAGTCCCATCTGAGCGCCCCCAGATCAAGGCTGACAATTTGTACGTTTAATCGGGTTGGGGTGGGCGGGCTGCCAAGATGTTTCTCCACACCGCAAAACACAAGGTTGAGATTATAATTACAGATGTAAGGAGGAGAAAAATGGCAAGACCTCTTCAGACGGCTGGGAGATGCACGGCAACCCTCCAAAAAAAGAAAGAGAGAGAGAGAACCCTGTCTAATTAACGTCTTCTGGTAGGGTTTCGAAAGCAAGTTGTCCTGGCCAAATCCCTGGGTGGAGAGGACACACACACACACACACACACACACACACACACGAGCTTGTGTGTTGATGTCTTTCTGGCCAATGGGTGTCCATATCGAACCAAATACAAGTTCCATGCTGGGAACAGCCAACTTCTCAATATCCACAAAGCACGAGCCTTTGGCTCCAAAATGGCAAGTGAGACCAGCTTCCCTTCCTCCAGCTTCCGATTCAGCTTGGGGGATGAAGATGAAGGAGATGACGACTGTGCCTTCCTGCTTGGTGTTTCAAACTCTGTTTGATCCATTTAGTCAGGTCAACCAGAATCCTGGGAAAATGCATTTCGAATCATTCGAAGAGACTGTGGGGTCCTTGGTGCGCTCCGAGCTGGGTGGCTTCCTTGCAGACGTTTCATTACCCAATTAGGTAACATCATCAGTGTTAGAAAAGGAAGGTACTTGCAGAGAGGAGGAGGAGGAGGGAGAATGGGGAGGAGGAGGCAGGAGGAGGGAGAGGGAGACTGTGAGCTTGGTGGTTTTCTTGCAGACATTTCATTACCCAATTAGGTAACATCATCAGTGTTAGAAGGAAGTGAGATTTGCTTCCAGCACTGATGATGTTACCTAGTGGGATAATGTAAGTATGCAAGAAAACAACCCGGCTCAGAAAGCACCAAGGACCCCACAGTTCTCCTCCTCCTCCTCCTCCTCCTCCTCCTCCTCCTCCTCCTCCTCCTCCTCCTCCTCCTCCCTGCATGCTCCACTTCCTCCTAGCACTGATGATGCTACCTAGTTGGATAATGAAATCTGCAAGAAAACCACCAAGCTCAGACAGCATCAAGGACAAATACAAATATTCCCTTCCATTGAGACTCCATCTTTCATGAACTCACTCTAAACAAGGGTTGAAAATCTCTGTCAATTTCCAAAATTCCACCTTTTCCCCCAAGACAAGCATTAAACACCCTTCCCTCGCCGCTGTGCGATTCCCACTTCCTTGATCTTGCCCAGATCAAGAGGTTGGTCTTGAATCTTGGATTGAAGGGCACCTTTCATTCTCTCCTGGGCAATGGACATGAACCCTGTTTTAATTTCTTCCTTAAACACACACTAGTATGTTATTTGGAACACAAATACACTACTGAAGACGCAACGATGGAGAGGATGTTTGTACAGGTCAGTTTTCCCTGTCTATGCATGACCACCATCCTTTATCAATTAAGCACCAACGCTATGAACATTCCCCACATATAAGCTCACCGCACTGCTTATTGTTTGTCTATTTTTATTCCCCAGTATATCAACCTACAGGTTTATTACTGTTTAGCTCGGTGACCTTTGAGCGCTTCATGGTATTAGAGATATAGCATGGACTTCACCGGGCGCAACCATCCATCACTTCTAGCCTAACAGGAGAGTACTAATAACATTGGAAACGCAAGGACTCCATCTAGATTGTTATGCATCAGCTTAGAAAAAAAATAAGTAAATCGAGATTGAAGGGGGAAAAAAGGCTGCTTGGACTGGTGCCCCCTTTGAGGGATCTTTGGGGCTGTTGCTTTCAACCCCAACCATTCCTTGTCCATGGGGTCCCTGGTGCCCTCTGAGTTTGGTGATTCCCTTGCAGACATTTCATTGCCTAAAGAGGTAAGCTCATCAGCGCTAGCAGTTGTGGCTTGTTCCCTCTTTATATATACGGTAGCTCTGAGCTTGCTTGTTTACTTGCGGATGTTTCACTACCAAACTAGGAAACATCATCCGTGCTAGTGAGGGTGACCTTCTCCCAGTTTATATTCAGTAGCTCGCCCTGTATTCAGACCCTACATTTAGATAAGCAGGGATTAACACCAGACAAACAAACTAGGTAACATCACCAGTACCAAAAGGGAGCTGTTGGCGGAGGTGTGGGTATTTCCTTGATTAGAATGTTGTTTTCTCCTTGACTGTTTGTCTGGTATTAATCCCTACTTATCTGAATATTGGGTGCCAGGGACTGGTTGCATTGTCACTGAATATAAAGAGGGAGCAAGTCACACTCACTAGCACAAATGTTGTAATAGAGTTGAGTAATGAAACATCTGCAAAAAAACCACCAAACTCAGAAAGCATCAAGGACCACAGTCTTCCTCCTCCTCCTCCTCCTCCTCCTCCTCCTCCTCCTCCTCCTCCTCCTCCTCCTCCTCCTCCTCCTCCTCTTCCAGAAACCCCACTCCCTTCTAGCACTGATGATGTTGTTTAGTTGTTGGGTAATGAAGGGTCTGTAAAGAATCAAGCTCAGTGATCACCTGGACCCCACAGTCCTCCTCCTTCTTCTCCTCCTCTTCCTCGTCTACCTCTGATAATGTTACCTAGTTTGGTAATGAAATGTCTGCAAGAAAACAACCCAGTTCAGAGAGCACCAGGGACCCCACAGGTCAACCCTGAGCTATCCTCTTCTATCCACATTCCTTTTCCGCTGGAGACATGTTTTACCGGCCTCTCCTTGGGCGCAGCCCAGCAGGTCAGCCACAAGCTTGTTTTCTCCCAATTTCTGGTCTACATCGCGCCACACTCTTCATTTCCGTTTCGGTAAGATCCCGACAAATCGCATAAGCAGAGGCTCCAGCCTTGTTTCGCCACAAACCTGCCTTTGTTACAAAACCCCCGTTTTAGCATATCTTTCCGCGGATCCTAATTAACTGTCTTTCAACCCGCTAGGCACCTGCCTTCGTAGATAACACGGGGCTCCTGGCCCAGCTCCGGCATTCAGAGGCCAATAAATAAATTGCAGGTCAACATTGTTACAAAGCCTCCCCCTCCGAATTAAAGCCGTCTCCTTCAAGGTACAAAGCCCCCCCCCCATATGAAGAGCACCCTGAAATCCCACTCGAAACGGTATGATTACAGGGGCCGTTGGAGTTTAATAATCTGACAGCAATTCAGGCATTTTCAAAGCTCATTAAGGGTTCATTAATATATGGGCAAGCTTTTGAATTATAAATAAGCAGATTAGAAACCCGCGGTGTGGGGATTGCACGGTAGGTATGCTGGCGAACGGAATAAGATTGCAACCGCAATGAAAAGGCTGCCTCGGAGAGCTCTTGGTGAGCTAAAAGACAAAGCTTTTTTTTTTTTTCCTGGCCTTATTAATTAATTCAGTTCCGTGTTCACCTTGAAAGGAGGGCATGCTGGTTTTTTTTTTTTTTAAACCAAGGCTTTAAGTCCAATGTTTTCAAAACATGCCCATCACAAAGGAACACTGGGCCATAACATACAAGGATTTAGGGGTCCAACAGTGAAGCAAGGGTGGGGTGGGGGGTGGGGAGGCAGCTAACGTTAAACCAACCAACTTCCAAGAGAACGCTTCTGTGAAAGAAAGATCCAAAACCTTTGTCTCACCCCTGAGAATTAGGAAGGGAAAAAGAATAATCAAATGCAGGAGAGAAGCAACCTAGAACGAAGGAGAAGCTTCCTGACAGTGAGACCAATCAACCAGTGGAGCAGAAGATGCCTCCGGAAGTTGTGGAGGTTTTGAAGACGAGATTGGACAACCATTTGTCTGAAACGGTCTAAGATCTCCTGCCTGAGCAGGGGGTTGGACTAGAAGACCTCCAAGGTCTCTTGCAGCTCTGTTATTCTCTTATTCTGCCTCACGTTCCATGACTGTATTGATGGATTCACCCGGGGAATATAGGATGTATGGTCCAAGCAGTCCCGTTGGTGCTATTTTCTTTCTTTTTTTAAAAAAATCCATTTTCTTCCTAACTTTTCACAATGGGTCTTTGGGGCAATGCTAGCTTATGGGCCCCACCGCTGAACGCAAAGCATTACAACCGCACACCGTTATCGGATTCTTCTTGTGGAGTAGTGTTAAGGGAAAAATGCCCGCGCTTTCAGCGTTGTGAAGCGGATAGTCAGGCTATTTGGGTTATGTGAAAGTAACTAGAGAACAGGGAAAGGCTTCAGGAGAGATGGATATATGGGCAATCCTCAAGTTAGTTCATTTCGTCCTCAGCAGTTCATTTAGGAAGCGTTCAAAGTTAGGCTGGCACTGAAAAAAAGTGACTTATGAACGTTTTTCATACGTACCTCCCCACGGTCACGTAATCAGAATTCGGACGCTTGGCTCATCTTTCTGACGGCTGCAGCGTCCCCAGGTCACGTGATCCCCTTTAGCGACCTTCTGACAAGCAAAGCCAATGGGGAGGTCAGATTCACTTAACAACCGTGACGAGAAACATCATCCAATGGGGCAAAATTGATTTGAGAG